CACTTTTAACTAAATGTAAATAGACACCCCGTATTTTTTATTCCATAGTAAGGGCAATTCATACAATACATTTAAACTGGGCTACTTTAATACCATCTCTGAACTTTCTACCAGGACTCTGCCGTTCTTCGGCTGGTTCTTCTCTGTATACGTTGATTGACAGATGTCTCGTCCAGTCAGCGGTGAGTAATCCCAAACCAATGGCGCTGTCTCAAACTATACCTACCTCTTCCGGTTTGTCTGATTTGTCCTTGTGTTTTCTGATTGTTAATTTGTTTTCGGATTTGACGTTGTGTTTTCTGACTTGTTATTTTGTTTTCAAATTTGTCATTGTGTTTTCTGACTTATAATGTTTTCTGAATTGTTGTTGTGTTTTCTGAATTGTTATTTTGTTTTTTAGACTTGCATTTGCGTTTGTAATTTGTTATTTTGTTTTCAGAATTGTGATCTGCTTTGCACTTCTCGGTCACCGTATTACAACGATAGTTTAGTATTTTTTGAGAGTGCTTAAACTCGCCATAGATCAAAGTTAAGAACCATGTCTGGTTCTTGCCTAAAAAGACGGGTTTATAATGTTTGTAGTTAATAGATTTGGCTGCTTTTAGCTTTACCCTGGAGTTGGTCCACCCTCCGCCTATGGGCAAATGGATTACCATTTGTATTTAGTTTTACTACAAATTCCATGGTTAAACTACAGTGTAGCAAAACCATGGTTAATTTGTGGTTACCATGGTTTAACAACCGTTGTCTTTGGATTTAGTAAAACCATGGTTAATTTTCGTAAGGATAATGTCCAGTAGGCTATTTTGAGTGATGGGCTGCTAAGTAATCAAAGACAAAACTACATAGCCCATTTACAGGTGAAACTGACCTGCACTAGAAATCCTGGACAGTAGTGTGCTTCTCTGCTCCAGCTGAGCACTTCCATTCTCAAATCTCTCGCATTGATCAGCCTCTGGTCGAAACCTTTTGGAGGAGCGCGTGAGCCGAAGCTTAGTCAGGACTCACCGATATGATTTATTAGAGATTTAGCCTATTGTCGAATGGCGAATTCGCAAATAAACGCTTTAGTACATTCGGCAGGACATTATATATAGTAATAATAATAATTACAGTCTCGAAAACAGATCAGAAACATTGACGATCATCTTGCACTACAATTTCTTGTCCAATAAAATATATAACCTAATGAAAATGCCCCTCCCCCAAGTGAAAGGAATTGCATTATTCCCCATTTGTTTTATACTATAAAGAATATACATATTTAATGTCGTTTGTGTGTACCCAATTTCTCATGACACAGCGCCGCCATCTTGAAACGATCAACAAAGAGCGCGTAAAAATGTAAATCCTAATTATGTGCACAAGTATGCTAAATGTAAAAAGCTGAACATATAATACAATTAATCTTCAACGTGTTTTACATGTTTTCATAATCTTGTAGAGAATTTAGAGTTTTAAGTCATGGGAATTGTTTGTTTACGCCAGCCGTACATTACCTGTTCATTAGGCCAACTGACACAAAACCCGGAAACCATTTCAAATATGCCTTTTAAAAAAAACGATTAACTTTACAACCAATAAATACAGTAAATATTAACATTTAAATACAATAAATAATACTAAAGGACTAAATGGGCACATAGCGATGATATCAAATGTATTTAGGCCTATCCCTGACTTACTGCGTTTTGTACATTTGGTAACTAAAAATAAAATCAATATGATTTAATAACACCTTTATGATTTAAATAATGCTACGTTTATATTTTTTTAAAAATTTAATTTACAAATATAGCCTACTTTTAAACAACCATCAATGGAGAAAGATGCCTTTTGTCCACAGCATCTGGCAGCAGGGACTAACAGCTGGAGCCAACCATGAACCCTAAACTCTTGGTCAAGACCGCATTTGTGAGCAGAATTTTACTGTGATGAAAGTGAATAACAGAAATAGAGTATAATATCTATTTCTAACTGCAACCTTGATTTCCCTAAATACAGTCAAGGTCAGGATTGTAAAATGTGTTCAAAATCAACCAGTATTACACTCTAAAAAATGCTGGGTTAAAACCCAGCAATTGGGTTGTTTTGACCCAGCGGTTGGGTTACTAGCCAGAAGTTTGGGTTAAACATGTAGCTGGGTCAAAACAACCCAATTGCTGGGTTTGTCCCTATTTTACCCAGCACTGGGCTGTATTTAACCCAGCATTTTTAGAGTATAGTTTTTCCAAATTGACATGCAGGTGGTGCACAAGAAAAACTCCTATTATCCTGAACTGTCCCAAAAAAACAACAACTGCGCAATATAATGGGAGCATCAGGCACAGTGCATAAACGTTTCATCTGGTCGGAGGGAGGACTGTCTGTTTGTAAAGTCGTTCACAGGTGCTCATTTGGATTGAGGTCTGCAGCCTCATGCATACAACTTCCAGTAGTTTCCATAGTGACAGTTTGCCTACTCACAAAAATATATAAAGCCATGCATAAAGCCCTAATGCCCTTCATTTGCATAGGTTTGTATGCTCGTCCATGAACTCTTGGATTCACTCCAGCACTTCCATTGAAGCAGCCATAAATGGTTGTTAAACTGCCTTCGGTTATTCATTGTAAGCACATGTATACTTCTGTGTTTCTCAATGAATTTGTCGGCAGAAACAAAACAAGTTCCAAAGAAGAAAAACAAAACTCAAGTGACAAGTGTACAAATTGACAGTATAATCATATGAACCATGTAATAATGCATCGTCAGGGTGGTAAGAATGTAGTAAAACATAGACTTTAAAATAACCACATAAGTGAAGGTCAGTTTTTGCAAATTGACTTTATTATTTGTTTTGCACGTTCTGGTCTTATGGCTTTCACTGTAAGGTATTTTCATATTTTGAGTTGAGTGTCTCGGGGCAGATTAATGACAACACTGTTCTTGTGAAAACAAACCGATTGTCCTGGCAATATGTCCTCTTGTGCTGTCCAAACGTTTCATCAATCGAGACTTTTCTCAAGTTTTTCTGCATGTTCCTGTTGGCATTTTGTCCTGTAGTGTCATTCGTGGAGCGATACCAAAAGCAACCACGGACATTTGTCACAATACTCTTTCATTTGTCCTTTTAGCAGACCAAAACTGAGTCTAAAAAGCATCACAGATGAAACAGAATTAGAATATGATTAATACTCAGTGTTTCAGTGTCTATTTCATCATGATTATTCACAGGTGAGCTACAGCGCATCTTGAATCCATGTGTTACTGGATGCTGGATTAATGTCGTTACAATCTGCGTGGAGCTACTTGAGTTTGCGAGGAATCTTGAGGAAAGGAACTACAGGGATGGAAGAGACATTTGACAGAGGTGATGGTGATAAGCAGAATTACAAATCCTTTGCAATGCTACATTTCTAGAAAAGTTATCTATTCTTGGAAAAAGTCTGGTTAAAAAATTCACATATTTTCGCTCGGATAGAGGGAAGCACATTTGTGTCATAAGAACAGCTATATAAAATTAAAAAAAAATTAAAAACTGGAGAAGTCTCTAAGTCTTTGTGCATAACAGATATTCCTGCACAGACGCACACCATCCAAAACTTAAAAACCGGTCACTTAGCTGCATATATACACACTATCGTTCATACTTTTGGGGTCAGGAACCTTTTTTTATTTTGAAAGAAATTAATACTTTTATTCAGCAAGGACGCATTAAATTGATAGAAAGTGGAAGCAAAGACATTTATATTTTTATAAAACACCTCTATTTGAAATAACATGCCGTTCTTTTGAAACTTCTCTTCATTAAAGAATCCTTAAAAAAAGTTTCCACAAAAATATGAAGCAGCACAACTGTTTCCAACATTGATAATAATATTTAGAAATGTTTCTCGAGCACCAAATCAGCATATTAGATTGATTTTTGAAGAATCGTGTGAAACTGAAGACTGGAGTAATGATGCTGAAAATTCAGCTTTGCATCACAGGAATTAATTACATCTTAAAACATATTAAAATAGAAAGCAGTTATTTTAAACTGTAATAATATTTCACAATATTACAGTTTTTTCTGTATTTTTAATTAAATAAATGCAGGCTTGGTGAGCATAAGAGACATCTTTCAAAAACATTAGAAGATCGTACCGACCCCAAACTTTTGAACGGTTGTGTGTGTATAACCTCTCGCTTCTTCTCATTCGTTGGATCCGTCTGCATTACAACCCTGCAATCTGCCATTTATTCATCTAATATTGGTTATTCAACAATCTTCTACCAATAATATATCATTATTAATTATAAAGAGTAACCAGTCAGAGTAAAAGTCCATAAACTTAGGGTTGATGAAAAGCAGAATAACTTGAAGCCCTTTTGTATTCGCCCCCAGTCTCAGGCTGATGATGTCACAGTTCCCTGTCCCAAAATGATGATGTTCTAGTGCAATATCAGCAAACCCGGTGGGTCCCTGTGGCCTGATCTACAGGCGGTCGGCGTGGAGCTGATGAGCAGGGATCTGGATGAAGGCTGTGCTGGGGGCTCCTCCGATGGAGGGGAGGGCTGTGGGGACCGGGGTGTTTGTGGCGGAGGAGGGCCCGGGGGTGCCTGGAGGGTACATGTAGCTCAGGAAGCCTGGCGAGGAGGCGTAGGGATACTGCTCGAAGGCCGAGGAGGCGTACTGAGTGTAGGCAGTGCTGAAGTCTAGGTAAGGGGTCGTGGCGCTGGAGGTGACCTGTGCGGGCAGAACCACACTAGGCTGCAGGTAGGCCTGAGGGTAAACATACGGCTGGCTGAGTCTGCCAAGACAAACACAAAGAGAGAGAGAGAGAGAGAGAGAGAGAGAGAGAGAGAGAGTTAACTATTAAATTAGGGCTGCAGGAATTGTTTGAAAATAAAACCTGAAATCGCGATTTGGCTTAGTGCAATTATCAGATTGCAAAGTCTGCTATTTGGTTAATTAAATATACGTGCCGCGTGTTTCAGAGTGAAGCGCAGTAGACATGTGCCGGTATTCGGTAATACGATATATCGCGATAATGAATAAGCACAATATTGTTAAAATACCTTGAAATGCAGTCGTTCCCCCGGAAACCCAGTAAACGAAGCAGCTGCGCTATTTTCTTAAATGTATTTAAATGATTTTAACATCTATTCAGATTTTTGTATTCGGCAAATACTTAAATACTTAGGATTAATGGGCTATTTATTTTCAAACTTCTTTACATTTTAATCTGGACTACAACATGCCCTAGATATTGTTTGAAAGTGTTTTGATTCCTTATAGTTCGGTCACACTTTACATTAAGGCTCCATTAGTTAACATTAGTTAACTGCCAATGAGAAATTCTTAGAAACATTCATTAATCTTAGTCAATGTCAATATTTAATAACACATTAAAATCGAAAGTTGCTACTCTGAGCCCAAGCTAACATGAACTAACAGTTGTATTTTTTAACAAAGATCGATAAATTCTGTAGCAAATGTAGCTATTGCTCATTGTTAATGTTAATCATGAACTAAGGTTAACTAGTGAGATCTTATTGTAAAGTGTTACCTATTGGTCTTTTTGCACTTTAATCTGCGTGAAATTTTTTACTTTATACATTTTTTGTGTATTGCTTTATTGTATTTAAATGTTCAGTTCTTTTTGTTCTAAGAAAAAAGTTATTAAACCTGTTAAAATTCATTATGACAAATTTTTTTTTTGCAACGTTCAATAAATATACCGTATACCGTGATATAAGGATTAGCAATTAATCACAACATTTTAATTTGATACTGTCACATGCCTAAAGCGTGTTGATTTACACACGAGCAACTCATGATCTGGTGTTTTCAGCGTCTCAGTTCAGCTTGTGTCACAGTAAATGATGCTCCATATTACTCCGTATACTCCATCTTGAATTCTGCTCCGAGTTGCTTTAACATGAATGTGCATCAACCAAACATGTAATGAGAGGGACTTATCAACAAAAGAGAAGCTTTAGGGTCTTTTTGCATTTTTCCCCATCAAAATAAAAGTTTCATGGTTTAAGTTTTAGAAATAAATCAAGACATACATTTTAGTACTGTAATTTTAAAGTTGTAATGTAAAATAAGATTATTACTATATTATTTTTCTTAAATACTCAATGTTTTATTTTACAGTGATTTTATTTTGTTTTTATTTAGTAATTTTTATATTTATATTTAATAATAATAATCACAACATTTTGGCCAAAATCACAGCGAACCTGTTTTTTCCAACATTTTACGGTTGTAATTTAAAATAAAATGATTGTTTTTATATAATGTTTTTCTTAAACACTCTATTTTTATTTTGTAATAATAATAATAATTATTATTATTTTATAGTTTTTGAATAAAATCAAGTCAATATTTCATATAATCAGGTATTAATAATTATTATTAACGTTTTATTAATAATAAAATAATTGTATAAATTATGTTACCAGTTAAATGGATGGAAACATTTAATGTTTAATGATAATAATCAAAATATATATATTTGTTTTTTTACAGTGTAGTTAGTATATACGGCACTAGCAAGAGAGTACATTTATTATAGCAAGATTTATCCCTTTTTAGTATAACATTGTTACATATAGTGTCAATTGTGTCAAATGTCAATTATAGATGCTATACTATATAGTTACTTACTGACAAATAAAATATGGGCCCTTCGTATCATACTGAACTTCTACAGAAACATCAGGTTTCTTACTAAGAAAACTTTTTTTTTAATCTAGAACTAAGGATTTGGAATTACCTTTACATTTTTCTAAGAGTTTTAAAAATGAGACATCAATGTTGAAAACAGTTGAGCTGCTTAACATTTTTGTACAAACAGGTGATACTTTTTTTTTTAGGATTCTCTGATGAATAGAAAATTGAAAAAAACCCCACAGCATTTATTTGAAATAGGAATCTTTTGTAACATTATAAATGTCACTTTTGATTAATATAAACTGTAAAAACAATTCCGTAAAATTTACGGTAAAAAAAACGGCATATGTGGTTGCCGGAATTTTACCATAAAAAAATACGGTAGCAACGTTTTAGGTTTTAACTTAAATTTACAGTTAAATACCATAATTTCATTAACTGATATAATGTTAATATACCAAACTTTTGAAGTACTGAAATCTGTTTTGTACCTTTGTAATACACTGATAACCACCAAATGCAGGTAATGAGAAAGTCACATGATGAACCAAAGCCCATCACAAGCAGCTTTTAAATAATAACATATATAGAAGGTGCACCGTGTCATTCACACAAACACTAAACACCATCACGGTAACACACACGAAACTGAAATAATGCAATAAACATTCATTTAACAACATTAGGTGTAACACACAACCCTAATATACAAACCTGATAAGAAAAAACAGTTATTTCAACAAAAAAACATAAAATTTGAAATGCAACGCAGGTAATTCTGGTAATGTCAATTTACGGTTATTCACTGTAAATTATACGGTCTTTTTCACTTCCAAAAACGGTATACTACCGTAAAATTACATGTAGTGTCCAATACAGTTTTTCACCGTATACAGTAGGAGAATTTACCGTTAACCATTTAACAGGTTTTTACAGTAGCAATTTTACAGTCTTTTACCGTTAAATTCACGGCCATTTTTTACAGTGAAATACATCCTTGTTGCTTGTTACATCTTACTGACCCCATACTTTTGAACAGTAGTGTAATGCAACATAAATAAACATAGCATATTATTTGAAGTGCAGCTACTCTGCCCTTCTAACTGACCTGCTCACTGACCTCATTAATATTTCTCATGAGTTTCTGCCTGATGATATCATAGCCAAACATCACAGCAAACTGAAGCACTACAGAGACAGAAAGAGAGATCGGAGGCTGCTACCCACAGCTCAGACCCATGAGCCACCCTCAGAAACAAAGAGGAACCCAGAGGGGCCGCCGACACTGAGCTCAAAATATTAAAAACACCAAGCCGGCAACATCCTCATACACAGCCGAACACACTCACACATCTGCAGCAGCATACACTTCCCCACACACACACACACACACACACACACACACACGCACACGCACACGCACACACACATACACACACATACACGCACACACGCATACACAGCTGCAGTGTCACTCATCTGCCAGTCCCTCGCTGAAGGATGATTTATAGGGTCTGACAGAGGCTTTGTGGAGTAGGCAAATCAACGGAGTCTGCCGTCCTTACTGACCCTATTCATCCTAGCAAACGCTAATGCAGACAAGGAAACGGAGGGATTGAGAGAGACAAGGAGGAAGAGAGAGAAAAACAGAGACAAGGCAAAATAAGAAACACCAAAGCTGACAAGGGTGTGAGGACTGACAAAGTAGGGCCAACTGACTGCTACAAATTAGTTGGAATTGAGTGTGTTTTTATCTCTGTGCTGCCCATGTAGAAGCCTTCTAACCTTTAGATAAATGTATTGGGCTGACTTGATTTAAAAAATAAGGTTTAATTAAAATTCACCCTATCTTTTTGTGAAAATTATGCATGTTTAAAAAAACATTTTAACCTCACATTCAGATCTGCTTCCATCCAATCATCTGATGGACAAAACCAAGTCCCCGTTTTTATTTGTGTTTTTTGATAATCTGTTTCACTCAGATGTTCGTCAATACAGAGGAGAGATCTGTGTTGTTAAATAAGGAAGAAATTGAAAATGTGGAGTGCTGGCGTAGTACAGGACTTGATTGAAAACCACTGCTTGCTAACGAAGTTGTAACCTCATTAGAGCCTACATGTACACTAATCCGGATACATTTGAAAACACATCTTTTTCTCTGTGTTTTTGCCTTCTGTCCACACTGATATGGCGAAAACAGAGCTTTTTGAAAATGCTTTCCCTAGTGGATAAATTTGAAAAGGCCGTTTTCTTCGTGTAGTGTGGACTGTGAAAACAGGTATTTGAAAACGATGACGCACATTTAGTGATGTGACGCATTTTGTACCGATAGATATCAATGTTTATCCCAGTATTATGTCAGTTGTGTTATTCACTTTTGCACTGTTCCAGCTTTATCATCTCAGTGAGTGTTTAAGAGGTTTTATATACAGTATGCACAATAAGGTGAATTTAGCGTTTCCTGATGTTTCAGTGTGAATGAAAAACTTTTGTAAAATGCTAGTGGGACATTTTCAAATGTATCTGGATTAATTTAAATGTAGCCTGATTTGAAACACTGCATGCCCCATAAATAGTGTGTATAATAGGGATGCAGTGGTTGCGTATTTGTACTGAACATTTTCTGTACAGGTCTTTTGGTTCGGCACGCAAGTATCAAACAAATGCAGGGCTTTTTTAATTACTGTATGTGCAGAACATCTGTGTGTGCGAAACTTTTACAAATGCATCTGAACACAAAATAAGTTGCTGATCCAGGATGTCCTAAACATGAGACATGCTTTATGTTAAGCGCTTCAAATTAACTCAGCATGCTGTTTAAAGTGGCTTGTCTTCAAGTCAGATGCAAGTGTTCTTTAATTCTGTCATTAATTACTCACCCTCATGTCGTTCCAAACCCGTAAGACCTTCGTTCATTTTCAGAACACAAGTTAAGGTATTTTTAATGAAATCTGAGAGCTTCCTGACCCTCCATAGACAGCAAGGGAACTACCACGTTCCATTTTTGTATGCAAAGAAAACAAAAATAATGACTTTATTTATTCATGAACACACCTTCATATGTGTTCGGAAAATGAACGAAGGTCTTATGGGTTTGGAACGACATGAATTTTCTTTTTTGGGTGAACC